TGATGATGATGATAATAAAGGTGATGCCTGTGTTGACGTTGATAATGATGATGATTGGAATGATGAAGGCGATGCTTGGTTTGGCATTGCTGAAGTTAATTTTGATGATGAAGACAAGAAAGGCGATGTTGCTGTTAACGATAAGARCGATATTGTTGAAAGTGAAGATGTTGCCGTTCCTGGCAATGTTGGAAAAATAATTGGTGATGGTGAGTAAATTTCTGAAGAAACTTTATTCAACGTCGAATATGAAGACATAACCGAAGAAAATGATTGCAGAACTATGGAGGTTGGTTTCACTTGGACTGTTGTCCATAAATATCCACTTGTAAATATAGACGAAGTTTTAGAGTTGCAGCTTTGTTGCATACATCTTTTTGTTTCTGTTTTTCGTTTCTTTGGATTGGATGAATCACATGTTACRCTTTTTGGACCAGCGCAAAAATACCTTTCTTGAAACCCATTGCCACATGTCACAGAACAGGGTCCCCAAGAACTCCAGTGGCCTCCTTGGAAAGAAAGGGGGRAAAAGGTTATAAATTGTAAATAGCTGAACTAAGAGACTTGTACCCCATTCACACCTAAACGTGTTTAGTTAAACTATGTTTTCATTAGGAAAAAAATTGAGAAACTAGAAACCTACAATGTAATGAAACTTTGTAGAATATTGTCAGAGCAAGACAAAGGATAGTTTACATGCATTATTTCACCAAATATTGTGCAGTGTTCGTAGATAGTTTTCCAAAACTCTATTACCCCCGAAACCAAGCATTTCCTGGATTGATTGACCACGGTTACTGTGACTTACATCGTCAATTAAGTTTTAATCTGAAGCCGCATTAAAGCCTAGACTCGTGCGGAGCAACGTCAATCAATAATTGATTATGAAAACTCCAAATAAAAACCAAACTGCTGTAATTTCATCTCACCCTGAAACACCTCTGGGCTGATCTGAGGAATGGAGCATTGAATGGATTTTGGGGACGAAAAGCAAATAGTTTAAAAATAGAACAGATTTCTTAAGAGGTGCGTGGATACACTATGYGCCGTTTATAGAAGTTCAATGATTTTCAAATGAAAGGTAAGTGTAATGAGTCTCGTTCAACTTTTCAAAAGGAGAGTAAAAGTGCTATTAGTCGAAGAAACTGAGTATCTAGTGAATTGTCTCAGAATAGCTTCCAGCGCTGCGCACTAACCAGTCGTCATCGTTTTGCGATATAATTAACATTTATGAAGTCAGAGCAGTTGTTTCATTGCATGACTTYAGCCTAAAACTAAGAATAATGATGAGTGAATTTTAAAGCGCTTTAGAATTTGCTAATGTTTCAATGGTCGCGTCGAACATTAGAGCTATACTCAAGCGCTTCCAGACAATARACGGCCGGGTTATGATCAAGCTTAAGGACCCGTAAATTTTGCAGCTTTAAAATGAACAAATATGCTGCAGCCATTTGGCATCATCCTTTCACAAAACCCCACAAAATACTATTGCTGGTTTTCAATCATTCCCAAAAGAATAAGATAACGAAAGACAAGGCGGCCATGTTGGATGATWTAACAAGAGACTAATGACAAATYTTTTGTTAAATCAATTCATCCAACATGGAGTCTGCGAAAACTATTAATAAYTTTTCAGCTTCGGTTCAATGTTTTCCATTTCAAACAAAGTATCATGAATGCATTCCTTTGAGAATAATATGCTTKGCTTGAGTTGTATCCACCGTTAAAYAAAGAAATGATACTCTATAGAGGATGACACGTGGTCTGGAATGGGGAAACATTACATTCAAGATGAATGAGTCTATTCCAATTCCATCTTGGCAGTACGTTTGTCGTACCCAAGTTAGAGCAGCCCTGAGGATTTTTTAAATGATTAGATGAGACAGAGGCTTTTTGAGGATCTGATTTGTTTTTCAGGTGAAAGTAAATAGACTTTTTACGACTTTGAAGTGTTTGGCACCGTTCAGCTTGCAGGTTAAGGACACAATAAATAAAACCTTTGATGTCTCTTAATCATTCCGTTACTATGTTGTCTATCCCCTAGCAACAGGTGATGATGGTTGTTATCGCGAAATGGTCGTCCATTTACAAATTCTTTTAATTTTTTCGTAAAAATAAAAAATAAAAATAAAAATTMATTTTGAATTTTCCTATTGAAAACAAGTTCACTTTCCTGTTCATATATCTCTTCAGTTCCCATTACTTCTTCCTTTCCTGTTTTTATATTCAGCTTTATTTTATTTTATTTTATTTTATTTTATTTTATCGAGTGAAGCAAAGCCTGGAAAGCTTGGCGGACTTTACAGCTATACGCCCCACCTCTGCAAAAAACTGCCCTGATTTTGTTTCGCTTGGAGCCGGACTTGATGTACATCCGTACTAAAGAAACAGTAACAAAAATATCCTCTATCGCTATACCCTCTCTCCCAGTGTAAAACCTCATCAGAATTACGTTGATTAAGCGCATCTTCTCGCCCAGATCAAAGTTGGTTTAATTTCTACCTCACATTATATAGATGATCTGAACTAAACAAAAACTAGCCGATTCTGCTACTGAATTTTTGAGATAATTTTTCTAATGAGTTTGCTTTGAAGATTGTGATCTCGGAGAATGATCGATTCTTTGGAAAGTGTGAATCAATATCATGAAGCTGGACTAATTAATCTTGCAAACCGCCTATTAAGGGTTCAGATTGAAAGGTGATAATGGCTGGCAGAACTCTTTTKCTTCTTTGAACTGAGCGCTTTAAAACATTAAAGTTGACCAACCTCTTAAAGAAAACTTACTTTGCTTCGTGCTTTCTTAATAGTAGTAGAAAAGAGTGCACTTCAAATAATCGATARTCGGCGTTGGACACCAACTTGTTTTAGGGCATGGAAACATAAGCGTTTTGAACATTCATTCTGAAATTTTTTWGATTTTATATGTATAAAAAATACGCACGAAAATCATTCGTTCACAGCTGTGTTTCAAAATGGATGCCATATCCACAATTAACTGATAAAGCAAAGAAACCAAGAAGGGGATTTCGGCCGCTAAACATGAGACCCACTGCCGCTAGTATATAGAAGCAACATAAGGGGCTATGTTGTAGGTATGACTTCATCGGGCGACAATCACTTTATGGCATCTATGTAACCTGTATGAATTATTAGCTATTATCGAATGGGAAGCTAAACTGTTTGATCCCTCTCTAAATGAAGCTTTTATAAATGGAATCTAAGCAAAACTCACCTAAAACAGGCAAAACCAAAACTTCTACCAATCCCAGGAAACAAGCCAATTTGATCCTCATTTCTTGAGAGTTATAGTCTTTTGATCGCAAGATTGTGAARAAGTTATGTTTATCTTTGGGTTATCTGATGCAGACGCTTTGATGGTAAAAGCCATTCGACTTTGATTACCTAGRTCCACAAACTACTTCCGCAAATGTAAACACCTTTCTCGAGTAACTTTAATTTGGCTATGTAACTGTAAGGACAACGTCAGCCGAGCCGAGGTAGTAACCAATAGAAACTTGATTATCACGACGTTCTTGCTAGGTACCGCAAACCTCAAACTGCAGATCGACGTCAGGTGTTTTACGTCAAACTTTCGACATTTAGCAAGGCGTCATAACGAAGTYGTTGATGCTGAAAAAGCGCCCCAAATTGAATATCATTGATTCCGAGTGTTTCTCCGTGTTTACGGGCGTCAGGTGTTTCTGTTCATGATCCCTAGCAGTTAGGGATTAGSGGTAAAYCTGATGCTAAAGGTCTCTTAATAYRTATGTCAAAGAGCGGTAYACTCTAATCAAACTTTGAAGCTCCTTGAGTCAGTATTGATATAAGAAATGACAATGAAAGGATCGCTATAGAATCAATCCTGGTTTATGCATGAAATATATGTTTTCTTAAAGTTTTGATTGATGCTGCAAAACCATTTTGTTTAAATGAAAAAACTGGTCTAGATCAAAACAAATCACAATAAACTGTGATATTCTACACTAAAAAAAGAATCAAAATCTTGCCAAAGCAGAAACTTCATTTTGGAATTATGAGTAATGCAAGAGAAAGATTAAAAGGCTCTATAAATACATGTCTTTTAAAAGATTTT